ATTATTATTTCATTCAAATTTTAATGTTATATTTGTCTTATTTGCCTCATCAGGACTTCTACTTTTATATCCAATCTCATTTGCCCACTGTTGTTTACAATCTTGTCCCAGCCAATTTTATTGGCTATGCAAATAGACCTTTCGTGACACTCCGTTGCCCATCACATCTGTTCTTCGCTGTATATACCCAAAATAATTAAAACTTGCTTACTTTGAGTCTCCTTTGTCAAATTAATTTTCGCTTTGTTCTGTTATTGAAAAACAAAAGGCAAAAAGAATTTGCTTTCTTTGCAAATTCCGGGTTTGAAAAACAATTCAAGGTTTGATGTTAGCTTCTGTTTATTTAATTTTGAAGTCAATTTTGGTTTCAATAAATCATGTGTTTTTTTATATGTTGTTCCTCTACTTGTTAGCTTGATTTACAGTGCTTCTTCTTGACCAAATCCTTCCATTTGAGCTAGAAAATTTAATTTTCTTTCAAAGTTGTTTCCAGGATGCAGTTCTGTTTCCAGATTCTGTTTTGTTTCGATTTTTATTACTTTTAAAATTCAATCGGTTCCAATTTGCATCAAGCTTTTTCGTACTTGTTCATCTATGAGTTACCTAAGCTTTTATAAAATTTGAATGCAAAAGTCCATATATTTTTAGCTAGATCTAAGATTTAATAGGAGTTGTTCTGTTGTGCGAGCTAAAATTCCAGATTCTGTTTTGCTACAGTTTTGGTTAGATTTCAAGTACTAAATCATGTCCAATGCTTTTGCAAATTTATGTCCATGTTCACATATTAGTTAGTTACTTCCACAAAAAATTTGGAAATCAAATAACATCAAATGATAGGGGAAACTGAATTTTAATTAGATGTTATCCAGAATCTGTTTCCAGATTTTGATGTTGCTTTAGGTTATTGTTTCTTTGATTCTTCATGGCTGTTTGGGGGTTGATAAGGATGGTACAAGGTTGCTATTAGGTTAAGCATTCGCCTCGAAGGCGTCTTGTTACTTGAATCAATTGTTTTATCTTTTAAGCTATAATAATAATGAAACTAAAGGAATTTTGTAACAGTCATCACATATCAAGTGCGCAGCGACATTATAAGTAATGACTTTTTTAATGTATTCATTGTGCAACAAGAATTACCTGATACTGTAATGGGAATAGCACCAATAGCAACAAGCTTTTCCAAAACATGCATTGCAATCTTTCCAAAACCGCTTACAACACATTTGGATGAAGATTCAAGTGAATATACATTCATGTAAACAATTAAGTGAAACAACTAGCAATAGTGGACTTCAATATTGCAATAAATCTACTTTTTTGGTATATCAAGTGACAAGTAGTTCTTTGAAAGGAAAAAAAAAAAGATCATGAGTTATTAACCAACTAACATTCCACATTTTTATATTTGCACATATTAGGAAAAACATTACAAAGAACTACGAATTATAACTCAAGACAACAATATGCTTTTTGAGTCTAGATAAAAATAAGAATAAAAAATAACCTTAGTCCTCTTATATCTTTATTAAGCTCCACAAGAATCAGCTAGGCAAAGAAAACTTGTAGAAGCATGAGAGCTTTATCAAGTTCCAAGCCATCAGAAAGAGATATATACATGGAAACAACTACACTTACTATAAAGACAAACATTGTAACAATGAAGTAGAAATAGAATCTTTTAAGGATGCAAAGGTGCAAAGTCAGGCATCTATGCATTTCCCCTCATATTTAACTACCTCCCTACTCTAAAATAGCATTGAGTAGAGATGAGATATTGGTTACCAGCCTATAAGCAGTTGCTTCAGTTTGAAGGCTAGAACCTGACCAAAATATCCTTGGCCTTGTAAAACTTCCTTGCATAAGAAAGGAATAAAATGAAGACATAAAGACCACCTCATAATTTCATTCAACATTGAATTCTTACTAAAATTAACTTAAAAACCTTCTATTTCTCTTACAATTCATAGAAGTAATATAAAGGAAAATTTAGGAATTGTTATAATAGTTAAGATCCT